AAGTATATCCCATAATGTAACTGTGGTCACCTGAACATCGAAAATAGGGAAGAACGTTTTACGACAGTATGTTCGTTGTGGCCATATAGAGCTTTAAATTTCCCGATTATTTTACACCTAGTGATTTGGATACACAATGACTCGATAAATAATTCCAGATGAAAGGCTGGAATGAAAAGATTACTTAATGTCCAGAATAATTATAACTCTTTATTTATAATGAGTGCTGAAAAAAGGGACCAAATTGAAAACTTCATATCCTAAGTCCAGAAGATTTGAAAGAAAAGGTCCATATTTTAAATAAAAAACGGCATGAATTATAAGTTAATAATTATTTTATTCAATAAGCTGTTTAGTTAAAGACTGGTTATCCTTTTTCCACTTTCCTTTTTTTCTTTCTCTATCAATCCTATGAAAATTGGAATTGTACGAAACAAGTCTAGAAAATGTGCCGAAGAATGGATATTACAAAAAAGCCTGGAATCCTTTCACTTTATGTTCTGGTATCATTTTCCGACATACATTTTTTTCATAGGGCAACTGAATTCCTGATTATAGAATCATCGCAGGAAATGTTAGAAAATAATATAATTAATTAAGAACATCGTCAAAAGCATGGAATCCTAGAGATCAAAGTTTTCATGGCGACGCTAATTGGATTTAATGACACCGCAAGAAAATCTGTTGCAGAATATAAATTGAAACAGATAAAAAAAAAGGGAGGGGATTCATCTTTATAGTTAATTAAAAATTTTTTTTCGTTAATACATTATTTTGAGATAAAAAAAATTGTTTCTTTCTGGTGATCAAATACTATATAAAAAAATAGTCATGAAATACTAAATGAACATTAGTCATGTTATACCCAATTGACAATAAGAAATTTGAGGAAGGATAGGCTCGATAGAACTAAAAATTTTCTCGTCAAGGCAATAAAAAAAAGATAAAATTTACTTATGAAGCTCGTAAACATTCAAAAATCCATTCCATATTACTTTTACGACCTTTCAATGTGTACGCTGCGCTATTTAGAATTTCTTCGATCCAAATAACGTGATATCAATTTGTTCAAATAAGTGCATTATATATATTAACAAGGCAAAAATTTTTACCGAAAGATAAATGAAATAGTCCCGTGATTTCTCGTATGTTTCGGAATATAGAGAGGAATGATAATTTATGGAAATTATTGAAGCTTTCATTCAACGGCGCAAAAAAAAAAAGAATGGAAAAGAGTCCCAAAAATCATCTACAATAAAATTCTTTGGAACATCCCAACTAAATTGAGATTACAAAAGATCGACGAAAATAGTAAAATAAATAACGCGAAAAAGATCCTCATACGTGAATGAAAACCTACGTAAATGGATTTGAAAGAGAACCTTAAACTTAAATGGTCCATTGTTATCGATTATGATAAAATTAATTTAACTTGATTTAAAAGTAATAAAAATAATTATAGTTATATAGGTTTTTTGACATTATTTTAGGCATTTGATATAATGTCCAATCAGTGACGAGAATTGCATCCATGATATCATGTACGAACGATGTATAAAATTAGTTTAATTTTCAATTAAGAAACTCTCCTTCTTGTTTGCCTAGAATGAATAACAAGTGAATAATAAGAAAATTGATCTTTTTAAATAAATTACGATAAAAGGTATAGATCCGTTTTAAAAATAAGTCATTTCTCAACTGACCGTTATGATCATGCGTATGCATCAGGAGGTTCAATGAGAACATTTCACAACTCTCTTTGTCTAATATCGTTAATAGGAAAAAGTCTTTTGATCTGTAAGTCAAAAAATAAATATATACATTGTACTTTTCTTTATTGTCTGATAATGACTTATGCAAGTTTATTTTAAAAATTTCATTCATTTTACTTGCACAATTAATTAACAAGTGAGTGATCCGGAAGTTTTCTAGATTTTTGATCTGATCATAATTAAATTTTGAGATGAAAAAGAGCCGGATAAGGTTAAGTTATGTGAGTGAAAAAAAAAAAGATGGATCAGAAAAAGGTTTTCTTTTTGAAGATTGGTTCCAATTCCGATGACTCCGATTGTAACCACCTTTTATTAAACACATTTCACATTTGATAAGAATTATATAACACAAGGACACAAGAGTAGGACTTTGTATTATTAATGGTACGCGAAACTGGGCAAAACTAAAAAGAAAAGTTAGTAAAAGAAAGGGTTAGATGATGTGGTACTCGCGTCATTGGTTATGCGTAAAAATTTATGTTATGCAGAACAATAAAACAAAGCTCATTGCTTTTTTTTTTAAATTATTGTTTATTTTTAATTGGGAAAAGCCGTCGTGTAAAGTGATATCAAGGTTCAATTATATCTATTTCTCCTGAAATTTTCGAATTATGTTGTACAGAGGGTTGGTTGACTCGGTGAATTACAATAATCGATAAATGATTGATGAGAAGGTTTACAATTGGGAAAATATACAGTAAAGCAAGGAAAGCACGCGATATGAATGAATTGCACGTGGCAATATTTTAAAGAACCCATGAATTAAAAATAAAAATACCCATGAATTCAAAGTAGGTTATGTACATTCAACCCGTAAAAATTATAGAAAAAGAAATTTCAAATCATTTTCAAAACACCGAAAACTAAACGAAATATATTTTTTATTTAAACTTGATTAAAATCCAACCAATACTGTACTCATTTCACACAAAAAATCACTATTTTCTGAATTAATTACACATGTAACCCAAAAAATGTAGAATTCAATAATTATATAGATAAAATAAGCCTCATGAAATTTTAATATAGTCGTAAATTTAAGGTCTGATTATTCTTTCTTAATTATGCATGTCATGTAGCGAGTAGATTTTTCACGTGAAATGATGTGGAGCATATTGTTTTAAAGAATGGTATCGGTCCTAATTAGAATTATGCTTTCACTTGAAGATTCCGTCACGTGTAACTTCCCAGATTACGAAATGACAGCTGATACACTTGTGAAACAGATGGTTAAGAATTTCCGGCAAGATGCGAATCCGTTCTAACGTTAATTTCTTTTTTTAATGAATTAGCTATTTAACCTTATCCGGAACAATTGAGTGAATTTTTTTTTGCTGATATTATCAGTTTGATCTAATCCGCACAAGGAAAACTTCTCGCTTATCACCCTTTATTTTTCTCATCATATACAAAGACCTCCTTTGTTTTACCTTGGAGAAGAAACTCCACCCTTATCATAGGGAACAAAATTTACCAAATCCAAACTTCAAAAATCAATTTTATCCCAAAATGTTGATTTTAACTAAAACGTTTCCTTTTTCTCGGAAATTAAAAAAAAAAATTTATATTGGTAACAAGGTTATTTTTATTTACGTTTATTTCTGTGTCCGTTACAAAATCATAGAAAGTGATGTGTTTTGCTAACTTATTCAACAAACTATGGACACGAGTTTTTTTTTGAATACCTAGATTGATTACTATCGTACGACCTGGGAACAAAGTTGACTGTACAAAGAACAAACCCATAATCAATCAAATAATATTTATCTGTTAATATGTAAACAAAGATTCAAGCAAAAATGTCGTACGAAATAAAGTTTTTGAGGATCGATCCTCAATTTTTATTTCATAATGAGAAATAAATGAAAAACATCCTATGTATAAAAATCAACGAACAATTGACATTGAAGGTAGATTTCATGCAGTCATTTTTTGGTTGATACGGAGGAAATAAAGAAAGTAAAAAAAAAAATATGGCGAGATCCTTGTGTATGGAAAAAAAATTTAATCAATACTGGAAAAAGATATTTTTTTCCCGCTTTTTCTTTACGAAATGTTCATTACGTGATCATCCAAACAGTCGTACTAAAAGTTTAAAATTGTTTTAAAGAACACCCTGCATTTAGCAGTCACAAGAAAAAAATCGGGTTTTTTATCAAGAAAATTAACCACATAGAGTATAATAATGTAAAATAAAACAATTGTTTTAAAAGACAAAGTGTTTGTGTATGAAAGATAAATTGTGTGTGACCCAACTCAGAGCAAACGCATGGCTAACAAATTAAGTACTTATCCTCCAAAAAGGCCCTCCCTCGTTATTATCTTGTGATGATTCATTTCACTTTCACCATCACACAAAAAAAAGATTTCTATCATCACATCTGCCGAGTGAACACAAATTTCTTTTCATCCTGCGTGTGCGCAATATGATTTTTTTTGACGACGACAAGTTCATGCTGATATTTTGGTCAACAAGGTTATGCGAATTTCAGCCGTTAGAAAATAGCCTGACGCTGGTGAACCCACGCGAGCAGACATCGTTCGACTTCAAAAATGATATTCCACATGAAACAATAAAAAAGAACAATGCGAGATTTTTCACGAGGAAAAAATTTTTTTTTCACTTATGAGAAAAATTAGGTAAAATTTTCCGAATCAAAAATGGTACATGTTCGGACATAATCAACCTTAAAAAAAAATTCATAAAAAAAGGGTTCGCTTAAAATATATATTTGGATAATAAAAGATGATGTGAATTAATTCCGTTAGTGCAATCATTTGCATGGATCGATAAATCGGTCATGCTGCGGAGGGCAACAAACCATATGGCTTTGTTCATGTGGGTTAAAACATAAATAAAACACTTTATCGTTAACGATTCATATGCCAAATTTATCATGCGTCCAATTAATCAAGATCTTCCATTTCGCCGAGTAAATTTTCGAGATCGCTGCATTGTATTTTATTTTTTTTTTTTGTATGAATTTGGATTAGGTTTATCGATTGAAAAAGTAACGTAACGTAAATATCATACATGAATTCGAGCAAACATGTTATCCTAAAAAGTTATTAAGGATCCGCTCCTTTTGTGTTCTGATTTTCCACTTCTTAATCTGTGATTGGTTTAAAGCATTAATTTATGCGCATTTAGTAATGCATAATTTCACTGCATGTTTTTATTATCACCGAGATTTTATTCAATACATCAAAACAATGAAACGGTTAATTTTATCCTTGACAAATTTGGTTCGTCATACCTTTTTCTTCATATGGCAAAATTTTATTTATGCAAGCCTTTGTATCCTTTGTGCTTCTTACGATTGATGTCAATACTTTAAACTCTGTTGATGTGTTAATGTATTGCACAAATATAGCAAGCCATGTGCCTCAATTATATTGTATTATATTGTTATGTTTTGGTCACATTATAATCTATCTATTTTTTTTTAACAAAAACAAACCGGGAATTTTTGACATCATTACTATCTTTGGAAAGTGTATTAAATCAACGTGGCACGAAATCAATGATGCGCATGGCCCGTGCGTTCGGGCACTGCGGCGTGCTTTCCATATAATAAAAAGAGTCAACAATGAAAAAAAAAACAATTGTTTTTTTCCCCGACGTATTTAATGCAAACTGCATGTTCTATTTTTATTACACACATCAGTTGTTGATGTTTTGGCTTATTTTATGCAGTTCGTGATATGTTTGATGGGAGCACAAGTAATATAATAAATCATATGACATTTGATAAGTATTGTTGAGAAAAGGTGATCTACTGATCGCGTTTCTCACATGTGCCTCCAAGCGTGTGCAGCGATTTACTGTTGCTGAATAAAGCGCGGTATTTTTAAATTCATTGTGTTCTCCTGAAAAATGATGTCATGGTTGCGACGAACCATGCTTTTACGGTTGAAAGCGATCTTATTACAATCATGTGTTTGGCATGCGCTTAGTCAGTCAACATTCGGCTTCAAGGTGCATTCGGGATTCGCGAAATATAATTATATATTTTTATTGAAACATGATCCCAAAAGGTGTTGCATTCATGCAGTTGGAAACCTGGTCCTGAGTCAACCCAGAGTCTTGAGCCTCAATGATTCCATTTTAAGGTATATTAAAACATTTATTATGTAAATTCATCACGGGTAATTAATTAATTGTTGATTGTATGAATAACCAAAAATCATCGAAATAATAAATAAACATAAACGCGCTTTGGTTTTAACCATCAAAGGAAAACAAGAAAAAGTAATTTGTTTTCAAACATCATAATGTTCGTATACATATATATTGTTTCTTGATAAGGTTACGATTTTGGCATCATCATCGTAAGACCTTTGATGTCAATCCCCCCTTATAGAAATTTATTGATCAAGACGAAATCAACGACGGGAAATCCAAAAAGAGAAAATCTGAATAAGTATACGCGCACATTATTACTATTATAATTACGCTATTAAGATTTCATGTAATGCGAGGTTACTGATATGACAAACGTATTGATTAAGTTAATCTCGTCGATTATCTTTTTTTTTTTTTTTTTTTGGCATCTGCAGTTTTACAAGAAACATGAAACATTTCCATGAACGCAGAATAGAAACAGGGGTAACAGATAAGAAAACAACGCATAGAAACAAATCATCTTGATTTAAATTACAAATCTTCAAAATATTTCATGCATAGAGCCTTCTTGGATTCCAGTGATATTGTAAATTCCTGGTAATTGCGAGTTGCCAATAATTTTTTCATTGCACAATTAATCCCATCCGTTTCACTTTCGTGTTACGTATCCGTTTTTGTTTATATTATTTTTCGTTTTAAAGGATCACCTGGATCACCTTTTCATTTTAAAGAATCATAAATCGACCAATAAAACATTTTTATTTTTATTGATATTAAATTTTCATAAAAAGATCGTCCATCTTGTTTTCCAATATGGAAAAACAAGTTTGAAATCTTTTCTAAATATCGGGAGCCCGCTTATCGTACAGATGTAGCCGTAATATGACGTGTTCCATTATGTATAAATAGTTATAATATATGTGAGGCTGGAAAGTGATGCATCTAATAGATTAAAAGGTGTCATTAATAACCGAATATTTTTTATTGCATCGCGGCAAAAATTATCCTTTTATTCCTGCAATTTAATTCTCATTGTAGATGTTACAATAATGAAATTAAAAATAGCGTCATATTGTTTTCGATCCACGATTTAAAAAAAATGTAATTTTTCTTTACTGTGCCTTTGTGTTCCGAATTTAGTGTCTTTAGATTTAATGCGTGATTTATTTTTTATTTATTAGACATTTTTGGATGACGATCGTTAACGCATGGCAGAATTATGCATTTAATTCTGGTAAAATTTAGGACCGGCTACAATTATTCGATTTATTCATATTTGAAAAGGATGCACGTTGTTATTGCGTCATGCATTTAAAGTTAGAGAGGCAAGGTAATAATAACGTACAATAAATAATAGTTAAGGGCCATTTTAGATGAATTTTTTTTTTTTCAAGATGATAATTTTTTTATTTTTTACAACTTTTGATTTTTCATGGATGGGTGAAATGTTCCATTCCTAAGGTATACAGTTTTTGATTGAATCTCATTTAGAACTTGGAATTTTTTTTTAGATCAAAAAATATTGGGAATGTTTTTCGATTTTTTATCACATTATTAACTAAAAACACATTGGGGCCAAAAAATAAATAAATAAATAATAAATTTTCCATTACAGTAAATCATTGATGACAAATAATTTTATTGTTGTTTATTAGTTGATTTTTTAAAAAAAAATCCTAAATAACAAACAAAACGAAAAAAAAAAATAACAATAAATTCATTGAGAGAATGTTTGCTCATTATCGTAATGAAAGTACTTTGTTTACAATAGATAACTCACAATAATTCTATTATTTTTTTTATGACTAATTAATCACCTTACATGTTTAATTCAAAAAAAAAAAAAAAAAAAATTTTTTTGGGGGGATTTTTTTTTTTGAAACATAAAGAATAAAAGAAGTATTTTTTTTTTTCCAAAAAAAAAAAAAAAATAAAAAAATAAAAAAAAAAAAACCTTAAATGGGCCTGCGAAAAATGTACTTAAAAAAAAAGTTCTTTACTCATTAAAAGATATTCGTACCACATGGGAAAAAAAAAATCGGAATTTTAATCGGAATTTTGTGAAATTTTAATTGTTACCGTTATGGAAATATGAAAGCGGAGCTTTTGATTGGTTTCGGAGTAGAAATTACAAGATTACGATAACATTGATGATTATCGGATATTTGAATCACTGGAAATCACTTATTGTTACAAGACTAAACGAAGATCAAAAAAAGTTGATAGTTTACAATGTCAAAACATTTGGATATTGTTTGAAGGTTAAAACTATAGAAAAAATTGTTTGGAAAAAAAAAATCTTCCAAAGGAATAATAAAGTGAATGACATAAAAGTAATTAATGTTTGGCGCTAAAAAAACTTGAATGTAATATGGTGGCGTAGATCAAACTTACATGAACAATCATCATATACAATGTCACTTCTTAAAATAAATTCTGCGTTTGACCAAAAAATTTCTCATTTAAAAAAATATAAACAAAACCAAACTTCAAATGTCACAATAGTTGTTCATTCATCAATTCTCTTTTTCATCAAGTTTTTAAAATAAAGTTAGCCCCCCTTAAAAAAAAAAATTAAAGTTGGAAGAATCCGCAATCTCTAACTGAATAAATAATGGCAAGCAATTATTGTTGTGGGGAGAGAAGCAAAATCGATGGGACTTTTTTTTGATATTGTGTAACATTGACACAGAGCTGACCTTGTCCTCCTTTTCGCAAGAATTTACCGCCCTCCATCTTATCACCACAATAGGTCAACCTTTTGTCAAAAATATTATGGTACGTCACAACATCGTATTATGAAGACAACGAAGTAAATATGTTTAAAAAAATTTTCCTCATATGCATAACCACGAAAAATATAATATTTAGTTTCGAGATTCTTGTTTTGAAACCTCTCCGCTTACCCTTATTTAAAAAAAGACAAAGCATTTTACGCCAAGACAAATGTTTAATGTTTAGATTATGTCACATGTAAGATACAAATTTAATTTCTCCACGTCCATTTTTGGAATTCACTCATTGTATCGAAAAATGGAAAATTATGTATCCAAATTCAAGATTTCAGCGAGAATCGATCAATAGTTGGTATAGATAACTAATTCATCTAAAAGATTTTTTTTGCCCATTCGGATCTGCATGCAACCTTTTTTTCAAATTTGGATCACAAGGGGAAAAAACACACACACCTAAGCTCTTTGCACGTGGAGAAAACGGTCATTATTATTGATATAACGATACGCAGCATTTATTATACATTACGTTCTTTCGGAAAAAAATTTTTTTTTCTAAATTAGGATTATTTTACAATTTGTCTTTCGTCAAAGATTTTCTTATAATGCGTAAAAAACGTAATAAAGATTTACATATAAAATTACAATTCATCATTTGATCGATTTTTTTCGTTACAATGGTAATGAATAATGTCGATGTTTATGTGTCGCTCATAAAAGAAGAACCAAGGTGATTTAAAATTTCAAGTTGTCACACCAACAATCTAAGAAGACATCACTCTGCTCATCACTTAAGTTACAAACAAAATTCAAAATAATTGATAAATTAAACTCGATTCCGATGATCCGTAATTTACGACCTGTTTTAATGACAACAGGTCTTATCATTTGGGTTGAGCGAATTATTACCATCGAGTAATATCAATGTCGATTGTGTTTTTGTTCACCTTGTTTTTTTTTTCCTTGAACAAATCATTAATGTTAAATTCAACAACAATTCCAATCCCTTGGATTATTGGTCAGTTAAGATGATCTTGGTATATAACGTACCGTCTTTTAACTTGATATATCTGATATCTCGTCTTTATTAGGTTATCAGGTGATGTCGAATTTTAAAGTTTTATTAAAGGAAATATAGGTCGCTTTTTTTTTAAAAAAAAAGCTGAAATTCACCAATCAGAATTTACAATTTTTTTTAATGCTATGCAACCCCCTATTTTATTAATCACACTAATTTGTAAGTAACACCAATACATATCAAGACGTCATCTTGCTTCTGTATCACCAGATTCTCTGACCTTTTTAATTAATATTATATGCATTTAGGATTCCTAGATGCTTATTCTCGTTCTTTTTTAATCATAGCGTGACTTGATTAATATAAAATTGCGATATATTGAACGATGTTATAATGTTATAAATGTTATACGCGCATCGGTTAAAAATTCTTTGGTTTGGAAAATATCACACGACAAGACACGAAAATTTTCACATAATATACATCATATACATCAATAATATCACAATATATTGTCAGATTACTTTTGGGGAGTTTATCAATCAGTCCACAATCGGAAATTAGAATGAAGTTCAACGACCGCGTAACGCGTACTTCATTTAATTTCCAACAAAGGATAACAAGGTTAAAATAATTCATATCTTTTTTTATGTGTTGAAACATTATTTACAGTTAAGATAGCATAAAAGGTTTTCCCGAAATGAACTTTTTTAATTGGTGATAATCATAAATAAATCAATTTAAAAAAAATTAGAAACCAGATTTCATTGTATTGCTACTTTAAGTTTATATCAATTATATCATTAGGTTTGTAGACTAATCGGATCAAGATTGATACAAGAATCCTTTAAGGACAAGCAAAACATACTTGATTTGAACCAATAACGTGAGAAAGAATTTCAACAACTGTTTCAAAAATGAATCTTTGCCAGTTTCGTTCATGATTTGATTTAATATGACAACTGATTAGGTTTCATCAATATTTAAACATTGTCTTGATGCATATTCTGATCAACAATGGTTTTAGATAAGGTTTCGTTGAACAAAAAATATTCTTCTCATGAATTGTTTTCGTTGTAGAAAGTTCTTGGTTTCTTTTTTTTCTTGCAGGAAAATAAGATTACACGACATCGAAATGGTTTGTTTATCGAAAAGCCCCTAATCAACAAACGTACATTGTATTTTATAAATTAAAAATTTTATCAATTGAAATAATTGTTTACTTGTTTTTAAGCCCTAACTTTTAAGATCTTGTGATATCAAAGGATCTAATCACCTTTATATAAAGTAGAGTGAAAGAAATTTCAACAGGTTATCCTTGCAATAATAATAATATAAAAAAAAGAGCCATTAGCTTGTTTACCTAACTTGTAGACTTAATTTAATGTGTTACATAATGTCCAAGTTTAGCGTCATTTAATTTTTTTTTGATCATTGTTGCTTTTAACTTATAATAGTAACCATATATATATCATACTTTGTACGTCCACATGCACCCAATCTCGCGAAGAAAATCAAATGTTTTTTATTTTTAATTTGTTGTGAATTTGATGAGTTAATGATGGCTAGGGAATTGTGACCCTTTTTATTTTTATTTTTCAAAATGAATTTCCAATTGTAATCGTGATACAACAAATTTTAAAGTTATCATTTGACTTTTTCTTTTTCAAGAAAAGTTAGTTCATAATGAACGCGCCATTCATCATGTTTCATTCAATTTCACTCAAAAATGCCAAATGAAGTTTAATAATAAAAAAATAAAGTAATAAATGAGCTCTTTCATTCATCCTTATTATACCAGAAAGGTTATATAGCATTTCGGATTCGATACGAAAAAGTTCGTGCGACCATATGTCATGCAGGTCTTTTGACGTCTTAAATGGGTTAACAAATAATTTTAAATACATGCAGATCAATATAATGGCAAATTTTTTACTGCGCGTAAAGTAACATTTTTAAACAATTGACGAAATCTTTTTTGATTTGTTTTTTTGAAGATGTAACTTTTATTTTAGTCCATTATTTGAATCATTTGGTAAATCAGTTAAGATAACCAAAAAAATTTATTTAATAACAAAGAGAGAGGATCAGAAAATCCCTTGAAAAGAAGACCCAAAAAACATAAGAATTCTAAAAACTAAAAGACTCGACTCGACAAAAAAAAAACAATTTTTTTTTTCGTAAAAAAATTTACAATTAAAAACACGATAGACATTTTTTTTTTTTTTATATTTCATCTAAATTAATTCTACCACTCCTTAAATTGCTTGGAAGACCCTTAACATTTCGCTTATCATTACCCTTGCCGATGCTGATGTCGGCGCAGTTTATGTACAATTCATTGGTCACCACGGCATCCCATTTGAATCTCAAAGTGCAACGTTCGCAATTAACATTTGGTAATTTAACATCCTCGCTAAAGTCACCATTTTCATCGGCACATTTGTCTAATTTCTTGACATCTTTGAAATCGGTGTCTTTACCGGTGGTGGAGAGTTGAACGGTGCAGGTTCCACGATGAGCGGTGGTAATCTTCCATTTGATTGGGATGGTTGCACCGGCTTTGAAATTTGCCGTCACTGGACCCTGAGCATTGCCAGCACAGGGTTCATCCTTGGTTGGACCATTAGTGATCGTTAATCCATTTTCCACATCACCAGGTCTTATTCTGATGGGAGGATCAACCATATGACCGTGAGACGAAACTTGTCCAACAAGGACGATCAAGAGAGCGAAGACGAAAATGATTTGTTGAACACTCGCTGATTTTTTGGATTGAGTAGAGAAATACATTATTTTTTTTTTTTTGAATTGGATTGATTATAAAGAAAGATTTTTTATTTTATTTTATTTTTTTTTTAAATAAAGATTTGACTAGCAAATTCTTTTGTTTTTTTTTTTTTTTTACGAAAAATACAGTTTTTAATTTTTTGAAGCGCGGCTCCTAAAAGACAGAAGTAATTTACAAGAGTGTTTTTAAATTTTTTTATTTCAGGTGATTCTTTTCGCGGGATTTTCTTATCAAAAGAAAACCAAAGCTGCCGGAATGAAGATTTTGGAGAGAGATGATGGGTTATGTTTATATAGAAAATTTTTTTTCCCGATCTCGCACAACTGTTTAAAACCTGAAATCTGTTTTGAGTTTGTTTTCATGTTTACCAAATAAGTAATTTAATGTTCCTTGTATTAAATGTCTTGATACCTTTGTTTATTTCGTTTTTGGCAGTATGCATTTAATTTACCAACTTTATGATATTGTTTGTGAATAATATAGGAAAAGTCCCTTTGTTATGTGACGATCAATTCAACGTGGCACCAAAATTCGAAACACAAATAAAAAAAACCAACAACGAAGATCGTTATGATTTCTTTGAATTGGTTCGTTTCGAGATACGAAACAAAGAGACACACATACATGTCATGTAATGTTTAGAAAAAAAAAATTAAAAATAAAAAATAAATAAAAAACAGAAGAGAAATCCTGCTTGTTTTGCATCTATCTTTAAGGAATATTCTTAAAGATTGAACCTAAAAAAAAAAAATGATTATTAGGAGTCTATGAATTCCAAAATCCCGAATTTTCGACCTAATCGGAATTGCCACATGATCGGTACATCAGAATTACACAAATATGTTATCAAATAGGTTTTAGAAAACTATAATTAGTTTTCGTCTCACAAATGGCCTAATGGCGTATTAACGCGACAGGGCTTATAAGCCCATGATGACCAAAAAGCGCTATTTGTCATATCATAATGAATAATTTCCATAATTCATTTACTATAAGAAAAAAAAATATTTTTTTTTTTCTAGCTTGGGTAACGCCCTTTTTATTATTATTATTATTATTTCTTTTTTAACTTTAGAAAGTTCCAAAATAAAAATGAGTTTGTCATCCATAAATGAAAAATATCTCGGTATTCTCCTGTTTCTTCTATGACATAAAAAAAAAAAAAAAAAAAAAAAAAAAAAAAGATTCAACGCTAATGATTTCTTTAGAAGTTTTTCAACGTATTACACTTCATTCACAAATGTATAAGTTAGATAGAGATTATCTTAATCATTAATTCAACGCGAAGGAATGTCTATTCCTTAAAAGTGGTACAAGAATTTCGTCAGCGGCTTGCAAAGATTTCCCGCCCAAAATCGTTCCCAATTATTTATTCGTTCCCCATTATTCTAATTTGAAACTTCTCCTTTTTGAGTATTAAAGTTTGGAACACGATGCAAAGTTTATGGATTTGTTTACAAAATAAAAATCAAATTCTTCTGCAAGCATTATTATGTATCATATCAAGATCTTTTTTTGTAAACTTGAATTCACAAATGAAAAAATTTTTTTATTGTGCATCCGTCAGAAGTTTAAATTTTTCAGAGGTTATCATAGGAAATATTCGAGCATACAAATGGTAATTACATTACAGTACAATAAGAGAGGCAATGTAGAAATAAATAAATAAAAAAAAAATTAAGGAATTTAGGAGGAGCATGCTAAAAATAGGAAAAGGTAACTTTATTTGCAAAAACATTCGTACGATTTTAATCATGCAATCATGTTTTTTTCTGTCGTATTTTTTTTTTTAACAAAGATCGTCGAGATCTTCTTTGTGTAAATCACAAGCTCTTGTGTGAAATTCTTTTTTTTTTTGAAAAATGACTACTTTTCATTCATTATGCACCGTTTGACGAACGAGTTCACTTTCAGCAATCTCTGTAAGGTAAACCTTAAAAAGATGATCTCCGTTAAGGTATATTGCCAAGCTATGATGATTGATCATCAGATGGATTTGTTCCCCAAAACAAATGATATTCAATGCTACAGTTTATTTCTATACAGATAAATAAAGTTTCATTATCTTCGTCGGATATTATAACTTCACATATGCATTAGATTAGGAACGTGGTCAGACAAATCAGCAATTAAGGCGCAGCGTTCAAAGATATGTAGGAGATAATTTTTGATGTTTCGAAGTATCAGGATGAGTCATCAAATGTTCTTGGCTCAATGTTATTCGCAGGGATGGGAAATCGCGGGAGTTTTTTTTTTTTTTTTTTTTTTTTTTTTGGAGTTGGAACCAAAGAATAATAATAATAATCACCTTTAATGAACGTGATGAATTTGAACCTGTTCGAGTAACATCACATTATTTTTTTTTTTTTCCTTTATGTACAAATTTTACCTGTGCTTACCGTATGGACATCTTCAATATCCTGATATATCCTAAAATTCACGATATTGTTCTTGTTTTCTATTTATTTTTTTTTTTTTATTTTTTTCTTTTATTCCGATTCTCACGATTAAAATTGTTCTTATATGTTTTGTTTATATTAATAAACTCCAAAATGGTTTCATGCAAATAAAAAAAGGTTTATTTTGATTATTTGTTCTTTCATTTCATCCTGTAATTTCTTTTTCTGGATCCGCTTACATACAATGTTGAATAATTTGCGTATTGTTACTTCCTATCTGATTTTTGAGTTGTCTCGTAGAGAAAATACCATATCTAATTATAATAAAAAAATACAATCTTATCCGAATTGGAAGGTTGTAACACGATGGTTATTACAAACTTGGCTTCAACAATCAGGTTCATTGTAAGAGGTAATTGATTTCTATTTTGTAAAACGTCAAATCTTAAAAGCGAGGATTTTTTCAATCATCTGATTCCTTGGCTCTTGTAAGACTAAAAGGCTGTGTAGTTTATATCTGCGGTCGTCGATCAAGGGACACGTTGTTTCAAGAACAAAAAAAATTAGGTAAATAAACGATTATCAAAAAATAAAAAAAATGTTCGGCTATGATTATGAAAGTAATTTTAGTGAAATAAATAAATAAATAAAAAATCGGTTAAAAAAAAAAAAAAAGATTTTCAAAAACGATTGGATAAATTGAAATCGACTCAAATCTCGTAATTCCCCTCTGACATTCAAGGGGGTGATGATGAAAAAGCACAAAGAAAAGCATCAGCCGCATGATGAAATGTTTTCATTAAAAATTAAAATAAAAAAATTAAAATGAAACCGGGCTTTTGAAGAATCGAAAAGTTGCAACGCAAATATATATATATATATATTTATTTATTATTTATTTATTTATTATTACCACCTCAATGACCTCGGAAAGGATGAGACGGAGGAACAAAAAAAAAATCTTCATTCTTTTAAAGAAATGTTCCAAATTTGGTTTAACCTGTGGCTAATTGTGGCTGTGGATGTACAATGACCATTGTTATAAACTAAGAATAGCAGGAGGCTGATTAGCTCATTATTACCATAACCAAATAATAAAAAATAATAATCATTATTTCCGCCACCGAATGCCACAATGACAGATTTGTTATTAAATCATTCAATTTTGGGAACATGAGAGAGGAATGAACAAATAAAAAATCAAACTTGTAAGGGAAAATTTTTCAATAAAAAGAACAAAATTTTTACGGTTTCTTGATTTAGAAAGAAATTCATTTTAAGCATGGCTTATTGATTGGTGATTAAAATGATTTCTAATCATGAAATATATAAATGATCATTTATCAATTCAAATAACCAAAAAAAAAAAAAATTAAAATTAAAATTAAAAAACGCCAATTCATATATTGCTGCGCCGTCAATCGAACAAAATAAAGAACAAAAAATATTTATCGCCTTACACCCGATATGTACCTGATAAGAAAGCATGGTCGATATGGAGCAAAAATTGACCCAATTAAAGAAATATGAAGGAGTACAATATCCGTAATTCATCTTTTGTATAAAATATATTATTGTATGTATATATGAACTTTGGATTAGGATGAGAAAAAAATTTAGTCGCAACATAAATTAAATTTGAATGTTTACTTCTCAATAAGTGAAAGAAAGGAATGGGTTATATCGATGGAAGCAAAGAAACTGATGATGACGCGACTAACCATCTCCCTCACGTGATGCCCAAATAATGAAATAAATCGCTAAATAGAGATGTGAAAAAGAAAAATTTCCAAAAAAAGTGATTCACTAACCAACATATTTAATATATAGGATCACATATATTCCCAATTTTTGGTTATTGTAAAATTTTCAACTTGAAAAATTTTTTGGACCTCTTTTTTTTGATGTGACTTTTCGATGTGACATGAGAAAAATATATATTATATATATTTAAAACGATCAAAGAAAAAATTTTTTTTAATTTAACGACAATTATAATTTTATACACATTGTTGTAAAGCCCGTTTGATTCAATAGAAAATCATTTGTAATTGTTATGTAGTATTTTAGGCAAAGAAAGTTTTGAGGAATAAAATGATCAGTTTAAAATGAAATAATCTGCTTGCAAGGAATGACAGTTCCGTTTCATTTTAACGGTGCATTACGAGGTTGAAATAATATGAAATCATTAACAATTGTCGGCGTCTGTTTCAAGACGTCTTGGATTTTTTTTTTTTTTTTTACATTCTCAATATTCTTAGAGAAAAGGCACATGGAACCATATTTTTAGGGGAATTTGAAGGGCATATATTTTTTCGGTAAATTTCGGTTAAAAAAAAAAAGTACTATGTACAAAAATTAAAATAACTCTTGATATCCTTTTCAAATTATTTTAAAGTGACACAAATTAAAAAAAATCTTAGTCTATTTATTTTTATTTACTATTTATAAAAAAAAAAAATTTTTTTTTTTTTATATTCTTTATATTCACAATACAATTTAAAATTAATCATCAATAAAAACGTTAAAAAAAACCTTTTCGTGTAACTTTAAGTGTGTATATATATGTCTAAAAATTTCCAATAGACCTTTTTTTCATGGACAATTCGAGAAAAAAAATTATCTTTCAATCCACATAAATACAATCCTTCTCTTGGGACTTAAATAACCAACTTTATTCTTTACTATCAGAGAACAAATAACCAACTCCCTGTTTGCCAAGGACAAACTCCCTTTTTTTACTATTAGTGATTTTTAGTGGGAAATACTCCACTTGAATTTACTAATATTTTTTTTTTAGTTTAAATCTATCTATCTTACTATTACATTCTTTTTTTTTGTGATTTTTTTTTTTTTTTTTTAAAAAACACTTATTTTGTTTTTTTATTTATTCTAACCTCTTCTCAATACACTCAAAAAAAAATTAAAATAAAATGGATGTGGAAGCAAGAAGAAAATTCTGTGGCTTACTTATGTTTGACATCCCAACAATTTCTGACAAATCACAGACATCAAGAAACAACGATATCATCATTAATAATATGTCAACGCAGGAAGTTGACACTTCCTCGTCAAATCGCAATTCTTTCTATGAATCCTCTCGAAATGCAAGTTCATTGATGAATTCAACAGATCAACAATTCATTATGCAAGATGGTTTCTCGCAAAGTGGCGACTTTTCAACTACCACACGCGCTTTGGCTGCAGGTGCTGCTGCTGGTGATGACCTTACAAATCCTGATTCTTCAAATGCAACCGATGGAGACACAAAGTCACAACCTCCAAAAAGGACACCCAGACCTCCAAACGCCTTCATCCTTTACAGAAGAGAGAAACAACCGGCCATCATAGCATCTCAAAGAAGCTTAACTAACGCCGAAGTATCAAGGACAATTTCAGATATGTGGCGTAAGGAACCTGAAGATACACGGTTAAAATGGGAAAGATATGCTGACATGAAAAAATTAGAACACATGCAAACTTACCCAAATTATGTGTACAGACCCAACAAAAACAAGTCCAAGGTTGATAAGAGAAGACAAAATCGAAAACAGAGCACAAAAGATTCATCAACGAATGTTTCAAATGACCCTTCCAACTCTGAAAATAAAACGACGGGTACCAATGCGATCGCTCGAAGAAAGTCAACAAAGAGCGCAAGTAGGCTCCCTTCTAAATTGGACATGCCCTTATCAATGAACAATGGAATGACCGGGTTTAATATGCAACCACAATCTTCCTCGATTTCACCTATGAATCAACAACATCCACCTTCCGCGATTTCGATTTCACGCACCGATACCATGAACTCAACTTCCTCGTATTCCACAATACTACCAAGTCCCGAGATGCCCTTATTGACCACTCATTTTACGGATAGCCCCGAAGATTACGTTACTTCGCATTCCCAGTTCACCCCATTAACCCCGAACACCCCCCTCACTCCCATTTCAACCCCTGAACAAATGCAAATACGCGAACACGACTTCAAAATCCGTCAACAACAGCAGTTCCAAAATAGTTTATTGCATTTCGTCCCAGAAGAATTGAATGTATATCAACAACAGCATCATCAACAACAACAGCATCATCAACATCAACATCAACAACATCATCAACAACAACAACAACATCATCATCCGGGACAATTCTCCTTCCAGTCCATAAATGGATTAGCTTCTTTCCATCATCATCCCACTAACGCTTTTCCTCATCAAACGGTCGACCCGTTGGAATTTTGCCTCGTCCCTGACGTTGAGCAACAACAGCAGCAAATGATGGCCGAGATGATGCTTCATCATGAGCAGCATCATATCACCCCTACGTCAACTGTTCCATCTTCAAATAATGGTTCTATACATGTCGCTTCATCGATTCCTGTTCAGTATTACCCTAGTGGATCGAACGCAGCTGCTGCGCTTAGCGGTAATCATTCATTTACCGAAATGCTCGGGTTCGAATTTCAAAATTTTTTGGGTGAAAATCACCATCATAATGGTAATGGTCTTGACGTAAATACTTCAGATCACTACCTTCAATGAAAAAAAAAAATAATATACTTTTTGCATATTTTATTGAGAAAGAAAGAAAAAAAGAAAATAACAAAAAAAAAAAAAAAAAAAAACAAAAAAGAAGAAAATATTAATTATCTATTAAAAAAAAAACAAAAACAAAAAATACAAAAAAAAAGGGTTCATTTTTCCTTTACAGGTTGGATCGTTAATTTTGGGTTTTCTCTGTCATTTATTTTTTATCTCTGGGTATTTGGGTTATATTTATTTTTCCTTTTCTTTTATGTACATTTTTTTTAAACTTTTCTTTTCCTTTCCCTTTCCCTTTCCCCACTCTCCTCCCCCCTTTTTTTTAGTATAGTAACTGGACATTTTTTTTTTATCTTCTTTTTTATTTATTCAACAATTTCCCTTTTTTTTTTTTTTTTCTCTTCTTTTTCTTTGTTCACTACTATTTTTAGACTGCGGACTTAGAAAATATTGTATCATACAATTTGATTCGTTATTTATATATATATAAAAATATATACATTACAAACCTAACTTTTTAAATTCAAAGAGCCCGTAATATCAATTGGGAATTTATAAAGTGAAAAGAAAAAATGTGAACGGGTGGGAAGGGTTAAAATTACTTTATTTTATTGTTTGCGTCAATATAGCTCAATACCATTTCCGAGAATCGATCTTTGCACAAAATTAGTGAAGCACACAACACTAGTAGACTAGTAACAAAAAAAAAATTGAAAAGGAATTAGCTAGAATACAGTAAATATTTTAAATAGATATCGTTTCTTCTTTTTTTTTCCAAAGCAATCATTTTATTCTTTTCCACCCTTTCACCACAATCGCTCTTCTTTTTTTTTTCTCTTTCAATTAATTTCACTTATTTCTAATTATTTTTTTTTTCTCCTTAATCAAAAAAATTATCATAGACATTATAAGATAGGTTTTTATTATATATTTAATTAATTAATTTTTGTTCCCTTCTCGTTATAGATAGATTTGTCCTGGTAAACAAACATTTTTTTTATTTATTTTTCTTTAGATAAGAAAAAAATAAAGTAAAAAAATTTTGGGGTTGTTGGTTTATGTTCTCTACAAAATATTCTGTCTTTATTAGTGTTGTGTGTATTTGCTATTTTTGGTGAGTTAAATTCATTTATGATATATGCCATCCCTGCAATTTAGAACTTGCGCAGTAAGCAACTTACATTGAGCGCGTCCTTGTGCCAAGAACTTTCCCAATACCACAATTGAAAAAAGTCCTTTTATCTTGAAACAAAAAGAAAACTGACCAAAACGAAACATTTCAAAAAAAAATGGTGTAAAACACTGGGAATATTACAATTAAACCAAAAGTCCTCATCACCGTTTCATACCCATTATTGAAATTTGCCTTTTGATTGTTCATTGAGAAAAAATTCGGCAATCATCCGCAATTAACGACCAATTAAAAAATGCTTTGAAAGATAAACTTTCCTAATGCAAAAAAAAAATAAAATAAAATAAGTAAACCTGTTTCTTTTGTAAAAAATACTTGAATTACCGATTATCCATGTTTTAGGAGAAGTGTTTCTAAAAAAAAAAAATTAATAATCAATAAGACAATTGAATACATTGTCACATTTTTCACATTGTCTACATTGTGATTTTCGAGGCCAAGATATTTCCATTTGAATTTTCAAACATATTTTGTCTGGGGTCGAAAATAATTTATTATAAAAATTTAACGAGACATTAAAAAAATTGGCATATCATGATTGGCTAAAATAGTTTTTATTTGGAATTTAGATAGTCGCTGAAATTGGAATTTCGATTTCAAATATTTGAAAATGAACCGATCTTTTTACTTACCAAAAAAAAGCATTTGGTTTCCAAAAAAAAAAAAAAAACACAGAGAATTTACCTATCGTTCTCGGTAGTTGGTCTCTTTTTTTAAGCACCAAAATAAGCGCTCTGAAATATCCAGAGATTAAACAGTTTGCATTATATTGGTTTCCAGGCACGAAGCACCTAGATTGTTATCTACTTAAAATGTTGAAGAGTGAAAGGTAGTGATTTAATTGATTAATTCAGGTACTTGAATAAGAGTTTTTACCTTAAATAAACGAGTTGATATGAATTGTTAATATTTCCAGGAATTTTTATTTTTGCATAGTTTCTCCTCAATATTTATCCAAGCGTCTATCCTAAAGAATCGACTCAATATAGATTTCGAACATGCGAGAAGCTGAATCGAGGATAATAGTCAATATAGCAACTGCAAAGTTAATTCTTGAGATATAATCATTCAGGTAGGTTGAAAGAATTTCATAAATCTATCATATGTCATTAGTCATTTAGTCAATTTAGAGAATTTAATCAAATACTGTACATAATTTTATGATAGGTGCCAAGCTCTGTTAGTTTTGGCATTCAACTTCATGGACGCGTCAAAGGTGCTCTGACTTTCTTAACAATCTATATGTGGACCGGAGTTGTTTACAATGTGCAAGTTCACGCAGAGATAGATAAAACTGACACGATTAAAAGGGTTAATTTTGTTTGAAGTTTAACCTATTAATAATGTATATAGGTTTTGCGCCAGCTTTGAAGATGCTTCATCAATTTATTTTATAGAGTTTGAAATAACTCCTTGAATAAATTAATCAAACTAGTAGTTTAGAGTAAATCAGTAATTATTTATAAGAAAAGGTAAATAATTATTATTTACAACAATACAATCTTAATAAACCTATTATTTTTATTACTTTATATCTTTTTAAATAAAAAAATATTTAAGATTACTTATTTTAATCTATTTTAAATTTACAAAATATTTAAACCTTTAATTTTGCAAAGTTTTTAATATAGTTTTATTAAGGTTTTACTAAAATTTTTATTTTATGATATAAAAAAAACAATTTGTAATAATAATAGCATAGACAATGAAGAATAAATTTACAGTTTACAATCTTTAGTTGATTAGTAAACATCTAAACCTTATTAATTTCACTAAATTTTTAACATAATTTTACCATTTTATAAGCTTTATTATAATTTACTTTTTCTGAATTTTGCAGATTTTTTAATAAGGTTTTAATATAATTTTACTTTTATCATTTAAATATCTGTTTAAACTTTAGATTATGTCTATCTTAAGCATTTGAAAATTGATAATTTCTTATAAAATGCTTATAGCTAATTTCATAATTTGTAAACCACTAATAAATTATAACTAAATGTGACTGAAAATATTTTATTATAAAATTGAATATGACTGAAAAATTATTAATGGTCCATAAATTATGAAATTAGCTGTAAATGTTAGATATGCAATTTATTATATAACATCAATTTTATCTAATGAAATTAGTATACTTATATAAAAATTTGTAAATAGAATATTTTTATGTAATATCATGATATTGTGATTATGTATTTATAAAAAAATCTAAAGTTATAAAGTAAAGTCTATATTTATTTCATTTTTATTAAACTTACTTTATATAATACAGTTTTTTTAAGATACATTGGTAGTCTTATGCAGATTTCAAGTATTGAAACACTCATTATTTTGATGTTGAAGGCTAATCAATCTTAAGTATTTTTCTATATTTCAAGTTATCTATTATATCAGATGTATTTTTTTCAATATGCCTAAGTATTTTCTAAGGTATAACATTCTAACTATTTAAACTACTTGTTGTAATCTAAATTATATATTTAGCATCAAAATATTATCAAAATCAGATAGAAGAATTATCTTAACCAGAGGTTCTCAAAATCAAATCAAATCAAATATTGTTAAATCAAATTAAATTAAATAAATATTTGTCAAATCGAATTGAATTGAATCAAATATTTGTCAAATTAAATTAATTGAATTGAATATTTGATTAAATCAAATTAAATCAAATCAAATATAAATACTTTTTAATTTTATAATAATATATTAAAATAAAATTATTTTAAGTTTTAATTAAGAAAATTATAGTAATTACACTAAAAAATTTTAAAGATAGCTTTTATAAAGTAATTTTAGTAACAGGTAAATATTTACTAAAAATATAATAAAATAATATTACAGTTTTAGTTTTACTAAAAAAACTTAAAAATAAATGCTATTCCAGTTTCAGTTTACTAAAAAAACTTAGTAATAACCGCTAGGGTTCCTCAAAATCGAATCAAATCAAATATTTAAGCAATTTGAATTTAATTTGATTTTTTCAAATTGAATCGAATTGAATATAAAAAATTTTTTAATTTTTACATTAATATATTAAAATAAAGTTATTATAAAGGTTTAATCAAGAAAATTATTAGTAATTGCACTAAAAAATTTCAAAAATAGCTTTTACAAAGTAAGTTTAGTAACAGGTGAATTTTTACTATTAAACTTAGTAAAATAACTCTACGGTTTCAGTTTAGTAATAACCGCTATCGTGGCTTTGGTTTTACTAAGAAAATTTAGTAAAAAGCACCATCGCGGCTTCAGTTTATTAAGAAAACTTAGTAATAACTGCCATCACAGCTTCGGTTTACTAAGAAAACTTAGTAATAACCGCTATCGCAGCTTCGGTTTTACTAAGAAAACTTAGTAAAAACCGCCATCTCAGCTTCGTAACCATTTTATTATTAAAAAAACATCTCTGAAGCTGCGGAAGCACTTTTTACTAGGTTTCAAAGCTGTAGAGGCATTTTTTACTAGGTTTCTTAGTAAAAAAAAACGTTTCTGAAGCTGCGGAGGCGTTTTTTACTATGTTTCCTTAGTAAAATAACGTTTCTGAAGCTGCAGAGGCGTTTTTACTATATTTTCTTAGTAAAATAATGTCTTCAAAAGCCGTAAAGGCATTTTTTACTATGTTTTTCTTAGTAAAAAAGGCATTTCCGAAGCCACGAAAGCGCTTTTTACTATAGTTTCTTAGTAAAAATCACTCCTGAAGCTTTGGAAATGGCTTTACTATTGATTCGAATCGAATCAAATATTTGAATACTTGATTTGAATTTGATCAAATCAAATCAAACATTGATTTAGATTTGATCAAATA